CTAATTATTTAAATTTTTATATTCCATAATTTTCCTAACTAGAATTATATATGTTTTAATTTTTTTGATTTCGCTTTCAATATCTCTTTGATTAAAAAATATTTTTTTTTCTTTGAATTTTTTTTCATTTTGTTATTCCCTACTTGGATATATCAGTTTGAACATGCTGCTCATATACCAATTTTATTAACAAGTACAACTTCATTTATCAATTTAACCATGTTGGTCATGTTTTTGTTTATGTCCTTTTAAAAATCACAACCGTTATTATAGTACTCCGTAGAAGACATGATTGGAGCCGTTAATTTGTTAGACCGTCGACATTAGAAGATTTTTTTTTTATAATAATATTGGAATTTCTTAGTTAGTTCTTTTAAACTATTGATCTTATGGCAAATGCAACTACTCAAAATTTTTCAATATTTATTATTGTTTAGAATCGTAACCGTTAGATTATTTCACAACCAGAGTGATATGTCTAAGTAAAATGTACATTACATATTATGTTTTGGCTAAAAAGATGATGGACCCTTTTATCCACCGGGTATTAATAAAGAAAAGAAAAGGATTTGATAAAGTTGGCTAAGCATGTAATTCAGCTGTATAAAAGGTGATGAAATATACTTGTGAATGGTCATATCACCCAAAGACAATTTTTTTTTAAAAAAAGAACAAACTGATTTCATAATATAGGTGATGGTACATGCAACAGTGATGGTACTTTCCAACGTTAAGAAAAAATTTGTAAGTATATGTTCGGTAGAAAGTGTAGGTTAGGGACTATGAACTGCAAATGATTCAATTATGGTGTACTAATATTGTTGTTTTACGCTTAACATTAATTTTGTTTGATTGCCAGATTAAAATAAAAATATAAAGGCAACCTCCAATTATGTTTTTTTTTTTATTATTTCTTGATACATATATATTAATGTCAAAAAAGCCAAGAAGTTGTCACAAATTGAAGATGATTTGTATTTTTTTAATTAAAAATTATTTACACTAAGAAAATATAAATGAAATAGAAGAAGAATTTAACCTTATAAACCTTAAAGAGGACTAATAAATAAGACAAATACTTAAAGGGAAAAGGCAAACCGTACAGGGGTACTTTCATAAGTAAGCACATTAAGATTTCTTGTATAGAGAAAATCCTTGTGTTGTCAAATTAATACAACGTTAGGGAAGGGTATGCCAATTGAATTTTCTTCTTCATAGGCGCAACCTATGACCATGGGTATCCTCCCAATGTGACCTAACATCTAGATTTGTACTCCCAAGAAACCTATAGTACATATACATATGTAATGATAAGGTTTGAAGCAACAATACAAATAATTATGCCTAATAATTTAATAAAAATTTGTTACTAAGTTAAAAAAAATATATTTTATCACCATCTAATCTTTTCGTTAATGCCCCCCAGAAAAAAATAATATAAAATATTTTCGTTATTATGAACGATTAGTAATAATGATTACTTAGTCAATATATTTAATTTCCTAATTATATGCCTCGAATCGGTTTTGTTCATGTTGCACGTTTGTTTTAATTTATTTTTATTTACAATTTTTGCCAAGAATAAGAAGTTTAAAATAAAACTACACTACTTCAAAAATTGGCAAAGAGACCCGTTGAAATATGCCTGATAGACCGCCTCACAACGAGTCTCTATCTCAGGGGTCTGTTTGGTAAAGAGACCCGTCATTAGTGAGGGTCTGTTTTTGATGACAAAGAGACCCGTTGTAAGTGATGTCAGGTCTGTTACATGAGTTATAAATTTAATAAGTTTGAAGAAAAAGAAACCTGGTATTAGAGATAGAGGGTCTGTTAAGTGGTACCGAATAGACCTACCATGTCAAATAACTGGTCTCTTTGTTCTCTTAGTTTTTTTTAAGAAAAAATTATAATATTTTTGTTTTTTATTTGGTACGATTTTAGAGGTATTTCATTTGATTTTTGAAAATTCTATTTAGAAATTGGCAAATTATTTATAAATTGTAAATTACACTTTAAGAGCACAGAAAATAGCAACGGATTAAATTAAAATTGATGCGAGATACAATAAAATCCAATATAAATTTGCAAAAAAAAAAATACGAATTTACTGAAATTTTACAATTACAATAACACCATACAACAACAAGGCTTGAATACTCCATTTCCAATCTCCTCTGTTTGAGAATTTTCTATGACGAAATCTTACAAACCCTGACAAAAAAAAAGACAAATTAATCTTGATTAATGAAATTGATATACGAAGTATAACAAAACAAATTCACTAACAAAACAATGTACTACATCCAAAACAATTATAACATAGTTAGTAAGTTACCCACTTGAGTATAATAAGACTTAATGGTGAAGAACGCCAACAAAAAAATACAACAATTAGCTCCGAAAACCTGACCCAAAATAGGACTATAACCAAAATTGAATATAAGATGTAATTAAGAGCCGCATCATATGTAATTCATAAAAAATACAAAAAAAAAATTGTATGTACTATTCATAACATTTAACTCATAAAATTTGTTCAATTAAATTGAGAAAATTCTGAAACGAATGAATGATAAGAAACTTTATATAAAATACAATTCAAAAGTTTAATAACAATCAAACCACAAATATAGAGACAATTTAAACTAAAAAATCAGTTTATAGATCGATTACCTTAATTTTAATCGGAATTTCAGTCATAAATTAGACAAAAATTCTTCATAATTTGCAGATCTATTATTGAACCGTCGACGAAACATATCAAATAGCTATTTTCTCAAAATTGGGAAAAAAAAAGAGGATAAAAAGCAAGCATGTATAAGAGGAGAGAAAGAGCCCATTTTACCATTCTTAGAATAAATGTAGTATTTCGATTTAATGGAGAAAAATGACAGAGCATTGATTCAATGGAGAAGGGAATTGAAGAGTTGACGGCGGCTTATTCATAAGGAAAAGACGAGGGTTTTAATTTGGGTTGGGCTTGGGAGGAGGTTTTGTAGAGAGAGAATAGGTGAATGCCAAGTAATGATGAAAATGAAATGGTCAGGACTCCAATTCTACTAGGAGGAGGCCAGGAGTAAGAGGAAAGCTAAGAGACCCGTGATATTTAGTCAACGGATCTTTCAATTCCCTTCTCTAATTAAAGGTGTGGGACCTAACAAAATAAGAGACCCGTTAGGATTTATAACTGGTCTCTCATTTCTCACTCTCTTTTTTTAATACACATAAGAGACCCGTTATAATTAATATTGGATCTTTTACATCAAACAGACCATGTTGGTTAAATATCGGGACTTTTATTGGGGGTCATTTTTCCAAGTTTTGTAGTAGTGCTAGTTGTGTTAATTTGTTAGGATAAGAAGTAATGTTATGATTTTAACAGTAGAGTAATTATAGGCCAAGAATTTTTTGTTTTTTTAGAATGAAGTACTACATGCTCGGTTCTTAAGGCACCAAAATGATATAGTTATATGTTGTGTAGTTAGATAACAGCTACATGCAAAAAATATCCAAGCTGGCAATCCTTATATCAAACATTATAGCAAATATTACTATAGCATGTATCATTCCTTGGTGGAAATCCATCAATTCTTGAAGTGCAATGTTGACTGTTGTTGAATTATGATCAGCTTTGTTGATGAATGCTAAGTTCATAACCATATTTAGATTTTGGAAATCTGTAACCTGCTATTAATAATAATGTGTTTTTTTAGTTATTAAATATTGTTTAAGGTTAAGTTTGAATTGAACTATTTACAATGTCATTGACTCAATTTGAATTTAGGTTAACATATCTGTATTTTAAAGTTTCTGTTGTCGATTATCGATTGTAAATTTTGGTTTAGGATTTGAGTTTTAGTCACCATTATTTAAGATTTGTGGATAGGGTTTAAGGTTTGAAATTGCTTTAATAAACAAGCGTCTAGGATTAGAGTATAGGCTCTAATAAACAATGTATGGTAAATTGGCATTATTTTAGGAATAATATCATCTACGTTGAACATATATGATATTACATCAAACTAGGTTAACCTAGGTTTATTTATCATACAAAATTACTAATCAAACCATTCATTAGTACAATATAGGATTTATCGGTCGTATTAATAATGGCTTGGGGTTTAATATTTAGGGTTTAGGGTTATCGATGTTGAACATATATGTTATCACATCAAACAAGGTTGAATTCTTATAAAACTAATAAGATTTACAATTTTTAAGGGTTTAATGACCAAACAACATTACCTAGGGTTACTTAATCGTTTACTGTTGGTTTAGGGTTTAAGATTTATGTTGTAGTGAAATTCTGTTATTAGTACTGATTTACGTTTAACGGTTTAGGGTATCGGAGGTAGGGTTTAAAATGTCATTAACCAAATTAGAATTTAATCAATCGAAAGATACAATCTAGGGTTAATCGATCGTATTAATAGTTGTTGTGGGTTTAAGATTTATGTTGTATTAAAATTGTCTTATAAACTCTAATTTAAGTTTTATGGTTTAGGATTAAGGGTATCGGGGTTAGGGTTTAGGGATTATAACTTAGGTTTTAGGGTTTATGGTCTAGGGTTTAGAGGGATTATGACTTAGGGTTTAGGGTTTATGGTCTAGGGTTTAGGGTCTAGGGTTCATGGTTTAGGGTTTAGGGTTAGGGTCTAGGGTTTACGGTTTAGGGTAGACCCGTCATTAGTGGGGGTCTGTTTTTGATGACAAAGAGACCCGTTGTAAGTGATGTCAGGTCTGTTACATGAGTTATAAATTTAATAAGTTTGAAGAAAAAGAAACCTGGTATTAGAGATAGAGGTTCTGTTAAGTGGTACCGAATAGACCTATCATGTCAAATAACTGGTCTCTTTGTTCTCTTAGTTTTTTTTAAGAAAAAATTATAACATTTTTGTTTTTTATTTGGCACGATTTTAGAGGTATTTCATTTGATTTTTGAAAATTTTATTTAGAAATTGGCAAATTATTTATAAATTGTAAATTACACTTAAAGAGCACAGAAAATAGCAACGGATTAAATTAAAATTGATGCGAGATACAATAAAATCCAATATAAATTTGCAAAAAAAAAATACGAATTTACTGAAATTTTACAATTACAATAACACCATACAACAACAAGGCTTGAATACTCCATTTCCAATCTCCTCTGTTTGAGAATTTTCTATGACGAAATCTTACAAACCCTGACAAAATAAAAAAGACAAATTAATCTTGATTAATGAAATTGATATACGAAGTAAAACAAAACAAATTCACTAACAAAACAATATATTACATCCAAAACAATTATAACATAGTTAGTAAGTTACCCACTTGAGTATAATAAGACTTAATGGTGAAGAACGCCAACAAAAAAATACAACAATTAGCTCCGAAAACCTGACCCGAAATAGGACTATAACCAAAATTGAATATAAGATGTAATTAAGAGCCGCATCATATGTAATTCATAAAAAATACAAAAAAAAAATTGTATGTACTTTTCATAACATTTAACTCATAAAATTTGTTCAATTAAATTGAGAAAATTCTGAAACGAATGAATGATAAGAAACTTTATATAAAATACAATTCAAAAGTTTAATAACAATCAAACCACAAATATAGAGACAATTTAAACTAAAAAATCAGTTTATAGATCGATTACCTTAATTTTAATCAGAATTTCAGTCATAAATTAGACAAAAATTCTTCATAATTTGCAGATCTATTATTGAACCGTCGACGAAACATATCAAATAGCTATTTTCTCAAAATTGGGAAAAAAAAGAGGATAAAAAGCAAGCATGTATAAGAGGAGAGAAAGAGCCCATTTTACCATTCTTAGAATAAATGTAGTATTTCGATTTAATGGAGAAAAATGACAGAGCATTGATTCAATGGAGAAGGGAATTGAAGAGTTGACGGCGGCTTATTCATAAGGAAAAGACGAGGGTTTTAATTTGGGTTGGGCTTGGGAGGAGGTTTTGTAGAGAGAGAATAGGTGAATGCCAAGTAATGATGAAAATGAAATGGTCAGGACTCCAATTCTACTAGGAGGAGGCCTGGAGTAAGAGAAAAGCTAAGAGACCCTTGATATTAGTCAACGGATCTTTCAATTCCCTTCTCTAATTAAAGGTGTGGGACCTAACAAAATAAGAGACCCGTTAGGATTTATAACTGGTCTCTCATTTCTCACTCTCTTTTTTTAATACACATAAGAGACCCGTTATAATTAATATTGGATCTTTTACATCAAACAGACCATTTTGGTTAAATATGTGGTCTTTTATTGGGGGTCATTTTTCCAAGTTTTGTAGTAGTGCTAGTTGTGTTAATTTGTTAGGATAAGAAGTAATGTTATGATTTTAACAGTAGAGTAATTATAGGCCAAGAATTTTTTGTTTTTTTAGAATGAAGTACTACATGCTCGGTTCTTAAGGCACCAAAATGATATAGTTATATGTTGTGTAGTTAGATAGCAGCTACATGCAAAAAATATCCAAGCTGGCAATCCTTATATCAAACATTATAGCAAATATTACTATAGCATGATCATTCCTTGGTGGCAATCCATCAATTCTTGAAGTGCAATGTTGACTGTTGTTGAATTATGATCAGCTTTGTTGATGAATGCTAAGTTCATAACCATATTTAGATTTTGGAAATCTGTAATCTGCTATTAATAATAATGTGTTTTTTTAGTTATTAAATATTGTTTAAGGTTAAGTTTGAATTGAACTATTTACAATGTCATTGACTCAATTTGAATTTAGGTTAACATATCTGTATTTTAAAGTTTCTGTTATCGATTATCGATTGTAAATTTTGGTTTAGGATTTGGGTTTTAGTTACCATTAGTTAAGATTTGCGGATAGGGTTTAAGGTTTGAAATTGCTTTAATAAACAAGCGTCTAGGGTTAGAGTATAGGCTCTAATAAACAATGTATGGTAAATTGGCATTATTTTAGGAATAATATCATCTACGTTGAACATATATGATATTACATCAAACTAGGTTAACCTAGGTTTATTTATCATACAAAATTACTAATCAAACCATTCATTAGTACAATATAGGATTTATCGGTCGTATTAATAATGGCTTGGGGTTTAATATTTAGGGTTTAGGGTTATCGATGTTGAACATATATGTTATCACATCAAACAAGGTTGAATTCTTATAAAACTAATAAGATTTACAATTTTTAAGGGTTTAATGACCAAAAAACATTACCTAGGGTTAATTGATCGTTTTACTGTTGGTTTAGGGTTTAAGATTTATGTTGTAGTGAAATTATGTTATTAGTACTGATTTACGTTTAACGGTTTAGGGTATCGGAGGTAGGGTTTAAAATGTCATTAACCAAATTAGAATTTAATCAATCGAAAGATACAATCTAGGGTTAATCGATCGTATTAATAGTTGTTGTGGGTTTAAGATTTATGTTGTATTAAAATTGTCTTATAAACTCTAATTTAATTTTTATGGTTTAGGATTAAGGGTATCGGGGTTAGGGTTTAGGGATTATAACTTAGGGTTTAGGGTTTATGGTCTAGGGTTTAGAGGGATTATGACTTAGGGTTTAGGGTTTATGGTCTAGGGTTTAGGGTCTAGGGTTCATGGTTTAGGGTTTAGGGTTAGGGTCTAGGGTTTACGGTTTAGGGCTAAGGGTTTAGGGTCTAGGGTTCATGGGTTAGAGTTTGCGATTTAGGGTTTACGGTTTACGGTTAAGGGTTAAGGGGTTAGGGTTAGGGTTTTGGGTTTAGGTTTAGGGTTAAGAGTAGGATTGTAAATAAAAGATTAAGAGGTTGTGAATAACATCTTTGGTTTCCATGTGTGTGGATGACATTTTTAAAAAGATAACAAACTAACAAGTATATAGAGCCCATTATGTACTCTTCAATGAAAACTTGAGAAACTCAAATTCCTCAAGACAAATTTAAAAATGAATACAATTCCAAATTCCATTTATTCACAACTTGCAAAATTACAAATAGGAAAAATTAATCCACAAAGCCTGAAATTTCACCCTTCTTATTAAACAATGTATTTTGTTCCTGTTTTTCCTACCAATGAACCCGAATTGGATTTTAATTCAACGACATATTTCTTTGACGACACAGACTTATCCATGATTAATCAATGTCCAGTAAGCATGTTAGTAAATGAATTGTGCGGTACCTCATAAATAGGTGTTATGTACGCGTCACAAAACCGAGTTATGAAATTGTCAGCTACCGACAAGCACCAACCCACCTATATGCCTGTTCTCAGGGATATGGTAGCGTATGGACGAAGGGATGGCTCCTTTTTCATAAGATGGTATTTCAATTAAATCCCTGAGTTAATGCCAGATTTCATACTAAGGGATTTAGTCCATGTGTTTGAAAGGAATGGTGTCCTTCGAATTATTAGCTTCCAAAACATGAAAAACATCCTCCACATCTGTGCTTAGGGTTTCCATGGCTTCACAAAACAAATCTTTTTTTCTCCTTTGGGACCCAAAGCCATCCAAACACCCAAACTTTCAAGCCCTCTTGTAACACCCAAATCAAAACCAAAGCCTCCACGTCCTACCAAAAACAGGGTCACCAAACGTTTCCCTTGGAAGCAGCTAAGTTTAAGTCCAGGGTATATATGGAGCTTGAATCATAATGCCTCAATGAGGATAATGGAACATGCACCAACCTACCAGCCTTCCCCCGTCGCTAAAGCCAAAGTAATGCAAAAATTGGCTAATGGCTTGGCAATCGTCCAGGCACTGAAAGCAAACAATGTTGGTGTTGTAGATTGGAATGCAGGTCCTGTGGTTGAGCAAGATGTGATGCAACATGGAGTCGAGGAAGAAGGAGTTGTTAACTGCCACACAACTATTGTGAAGAGTAAACAATGATATGACCTAAGAGTTGTTTATGAGGTGAGGGATGATAAAACGTTTGAAGCCATATATGGTGATTATGCTTCCCGTTTTGATTTGTCATCCCCGGAGATTATTCTGAAGAAACAAGAAAGGATAATCGCACCAACGGCTACCGCTGCTAGTGCTGGAATCCGTATCGGGGACATAATTTCTGTCCATGGAGTGGTAAAATGAATTTCTTAGTTTGTTTGTTTATCTTTAGCTATTATTTTCTTAATGTTTAGGAAGATGTTTACATATTTTTTGTGAAAATAAATGGTAATTATTTTTTTTATACAATGTTTAAAGGATGTTTAAGTTCTTCTACATCAAGAACACTTGTACTCCTCCGCAAGAGGTGAGGGTGTATGGGAAGCTGACAAGGGAATTAAACACGTCGTCAAATGTCTATCCCTAGATCAAATACAATTTATACAACCTAAACAAAACTAATATGAGTGTAAGGCAAACATACTCGTAAGGCAAACATAGGGGTTAAACCACAGGGAACAGATAAACACTACAAAATGCTATCAATAATTAAGCTAGTCTGGAATAAGGGAAGTAAACTAAGTCTAAACATACTAAAACTAGAAGTAAAAAACTAAGGGAAATGGTCTAGGAAAAGCAATCGCTCAAGCATAAACAAAGGCATAGAAGTTGAATTAGTTATGAACTAAACATGCTCGAATATCGATATAAGAGGTCCAATATAGCCACATGTCAAGGTTCATTGGCTTCTCCTAACATAGCCTTTATGCTTCCACATTAGAACCATATACTAGGGGGTGCTATCAAATAACAATCGACACAAATGAATCTTGCTAGGTCCGCTATCGCATCTTCTAACAATAATTCACTCCCAATCAACTAACAACATGCATTTTGCAAGAAGATCAAAGAACAATCAAGCATGTAAAGACTTTAATCACAAATAAATCAACTTTAAACCCTAGAATATGCTCAAGATCCAACTACACCACAACCATCCCCTCAGTGGAGAAATTACCCCACTAACCATGCCAACAACAAGATTAATAAACAAATAACCAAGCATCAACAAGACTAATAAGCAATACTAACAACAAAAACAATAATAAAAAGAAAGCAATGAAAATAGAGGAGAAAGAGTTAGATATTCTCATTGATTGAAGGTGAAAGTCTACAAGCAAGATGATCAATCTTCCTTTTCAAGATTCATGCTGAACAAAGGTGAAATCCTCACTTTCTCTGTGTAAACTACTCTAATCCTAAGCTAAACCTAGAGAGAGAAGCTTTCCTAAAACTAGAGAAAAAGATATAATAATATGACGAAGTCATGTAAAAAACAAACCTCCAATATAAATGGAATCGCGCGAAAGCGCAGAACAGCGCTCGATGTGTGCCCTTGCACAAAACTGTGCGCCCGCGCAAGGCATATGCGCGCCTGCACAACGGGTTACGCGCCCGGGCCTTCGTGGGTTGCGGCTTGCTGGTTAAGTTGTGCGCCCGCGCGCCTTGGGGGTGCGTCCACGCAAAGGATTGTGCGCCTGCGCACAGGACACGCACAACCCGCGCAAAGCTCTCTACCTCGATTATAAAATTTACTTCCTTCCGCGCGGATTCTGACACGGCTGCGCGCCCGCGCACTAAGGTCGCGCTCTCATGCACGTTTTGCGGTCCCTAACACCTTGCTTCTTCGATTCTACTCTCGTGCTTACTTGTCTTCATCTTTGCAATCCAAGAGTTCAAATACCTAAGCACAAGCATCAAGGGAAGTAATAAGGTATAGGCAACAGTGAAAAGACGCAATAAAAGGAAGCATTTAAGCATATACGTGATTTCATTAAAAACACATCGAGACGTGTATGAACGCATTATTTGAACAAAACAACTACAAAACACCATAAGACAAGCTAAAACAAAGCATGAACACTACTCTAAGAGTGACATAAATGTTACTCATCAAATTCCCCCAAGCTAAACCTTTGCCCATCCTCGAGAAAAGCTAGAGAAAAAGAGAATAAGATGAAATTATTCAAAGCAAAAGAAACAAAATAAAAACAAAGAGAAAGAATGTACACTAACTCACTGCCGTAGGAATCACGATCCATTTAGCGTATGCATCAATTCCTTTAAACCCCCATGTCGCCAAAGAGAACGAGTAAGCTCTCGTGAGGTTTTCCTGAGAGG